GCTGACAAAGATAGCTATTACTAACGTAGTTCATAGGGAGGACTGCTCCTCCTCACTTAAAATTTGCCAGCAAAATAAAACCCTGTTCCCAGCAACTATTCTGGAAATCTCTGGAGCACAGAGTGCCTGTGGCTGAGGCTGAGGCAGGAGCACAAGGGACTCCCTGAATCGCCTTTTCTTCCCCTAACTGTGTATGCAAGCAGCTTAAATCTACTGCCTGTGAACTGGTTGGTACTGACCAATGGGCCTGAGCTCTGAAGAATAATTAAGCTGGTCTTGTGGTTTGAAAGTAGCATCTGATCGCTTATTACCAAGGCCAGAAATTCCCATAGCCAACTCCAGCCTGTTGTCCTTTTATCTGAGTTGAAACCCTGCTTCTGTGTGGCACTGGTGAGAGACAAGATATGACACAGAAATGACAGGGACAAAGCACCAGCTGTGGTTTGGATGTTTTTCGTATTTAATTTTTTTTTAAAGATTTCCTGGCTTTCAGGATTTCTTTTATTTCAGGAGGCAAAAATAGTCTGTTGGTTGCCAGTGGCTCACGTCTGTCATCCTGATTACTTGGATTGAGATTAGAGGACCACTGCTGTGGCCAGCCCCAGCAAATAGTTTTTAAGACCCCCATCTCCAAAATAACCAGAGCCAAATGGACTGGAGGTGTGGCTCAAGTAAAAGAGTGTCTGTTTTGTGAGTGTCTGCTTTGCAAGTGCAAAGTCCTGGGTTCAAACCCCAGTCCCACCCCCAAAAAAGAAAACAGTCTTTAATTGGAATCTTTTCTTTAAAAATCAAACCTTTGCTAGGCAGAAAGCCTAGCAGAGGTAGAAAGAAGAGGCACTAGGATGGTAGGGGCATGGCCAGCTGGTCAGTGTCGTACCAGGTCCCCAGGAGTTACAGCTGCGTGGAGAAGACAGGAGATTCTTGCCAAGGTGTGCACAGGGGGAATTTGATGCCAGCACGTGAGGCATGAGGCCATTGAGTCAGACACAGCCCCTCAGTCACAGGCTTGAAGACGCTTAGAGCTGATGCCTTGATTTTTACAGATAGGCTAATCCCAGAGGGAATAATCTGCCCAAAGTTATATGCCAAGTTAACGACAGAATTAGAGACAGAAACCAAGTCCCCAAATCCCCAAGCGAAGTGTTCTCTCACTTCTCGTTCTGAATCCTAAAATCCACGTTGAAGAGGAAGGGTGGTAGTAGAGTCTATACTGTACTTTTTTTGGACTTGGATTGCTGGAGGACCTGAGAAAGGCTTTCGACTGTGTTTTAATTCCTTGGGAAAGAGAGGGGAGGCATCCATGTTTTCTGACATCCAGTAAATCAGTGTCATTTTTTGGCCCCCAAAGTTCTGTAACACTCCATCGATGGCTTCTGCACTCCTGTTGGTATTAGAGGCAAAACTGTGTTGTCATTTTTTTATGACTTTGTTTTCATCTCCAAAGAAGATTTTAAAAAACAACATCTCAATGAATATAAAAAGTGAAGCCAGTTCAGATAACTTCAGGTGGGAAATTGGGAGAAACCTGAGCAAATGCAGAACTGTCTCCACTGTCTGGTAGAAAATAAAGTTCGAGGTATCAGACTTTGTAGTTGAGTTCCTGCTGTGTAGCCCAGGATGGTGCTAACTTTTGCAGAGAGGGTCAAAGAAATGAGTTAATGACTTGGCAATGGTCATTAATGCGGAAAAGCCTAAGTAGTGAAGGCCAGAGGATAGCAGAGGATGGACCCTGCAAAAGGCAGGCCTAGGCTGGGTAGGATCTAGAAAACAGAAGCCTGGAAGGTGTGCTACGAGTCCATTTTCAGTTGCTGTGGCAAAATATCTGAGGTGAGATACTTTACAAAGAAGTGAGGTTTATTTTGCTCACAGGTTTTTAGTGGCTGCAAATCTAAGTTTAGGTAACTCTGTGTTTGGGCTCTGGTCAGGGCCCACTGTGGCCAGTGGCATCGTAACAGGAGTGCGTAGCAGAGGAAGAAATTGCTGGGTGAGACAGGAAGCCAGACTGAGTCAGGGCCCAGGTTTGCAGTTTTATAACGGCTGGCTCCATCAAGACGTAGCTTACTTCAGGAAACTAGCAGTACTCCCTCCCAGGGCCAAGCCACCAGTGACCTGATGACCTCTCACTGGCCCCTCCTCTTAAAGGTTCCAACACTTCCCAAAACTACCACACCGAAGACCAGGCACATGAACACTTGGGGTGCAAAGCCGAGTGGAGGACGGTAGGAGAAAAGACTCGGGGAGCTTGGTCCTCAGTGTGCTGGAAGGGCTGGTATTCTTCTCACCTGTCCTCGTGAAGTGTCCCCAGCCAGCCATCATGCAGAATGGCTTGCTTAGAATAGTCTTGGAAGTGTGGCTGCCAAGTCCATTGAAGTAAGTGAGGAAATTGCTTCCTTTGCTCGGTTCCAGCTTGTCTATTCATAATTAATTTGGCACAGCGAATCAGAGAAGAATAGCTGTCTTCACCCTTCTTGGGGGGAAGAACTTGGCAAACAAGGCTGATACGGACAGGCAATGATTAAATTGCCATGGCTAACGTCTAATGGAATTGAGACGGAGGACTTGTGAACATGTGCCTTCAAACAGAGCCGTCTCTCACACACCCAGGGTTCCCTGAGCCTGGAGCCCTTCCCCACCCAATGTGTGAGAAGTAATAGCTTAATCAAAATTGGAAAACATTAAAAAACCCTAAGTAGGAATAGATAAATGAGTTGCAAGAATTTAAATAAAAACAATTGCATAGCAGTTCAATTTGCATAGAACTGCTTTCTACGTAGCAGTTCTAAAAGAGAAAGTCTTAGGCTTAATTCCTTACTCCTTTTCCTGGTTTGAAAGACAGTGAAATGGAAATATTTTATATATGACTGAATGAAAAAAGGCATATGTTTTTTATATCTGATTGAGTGAACAAAGCACTTTATACACAATTGCATGAAATAATCTAAAAATAGTTTTTGCGTGTCTCATTTTCTGCTTTTCTAAGGACCAGCTTATAGGAAGAACCAGTCCAGAAAATGCTAAAGGCACAGAAGTGTAGCTGGTTTCACAGTTTTAAGCAGGTTTACCCTCTGTTCCCAAGAGCTATAGTATTATTCCTCTCTTTGCTTTGTGTTCCCAGGAACTTTGAACTTCTGTTGGAATTTCTGTCACACTCTCCCAGTCACATCATTGCTTCCCACTGTCCCCTTTCTGGGTAGAGGACCCTTCCTTCATGTTTACTCTTTGTTCAGAAGTACCTTGGATCTTTTCAGCCCTGTTTCCACCCGATATTTGCACAGGAATCAGTGTCCCTGGGAGTGGAGTAGAAGAATGCCACTAGGAGACACACGGCCCAGCCTGCAGCAAGGTCTGGGTGTGTCTGGGTGTGCGTGTTTGTGTGCCCTGTTTTGAACTGCACATCTGCTCTGTCGTTTCCTGTAAGTCCAGAAGTAACACGGTTCTATAACTGTACCATGACTTTCATCTACAAATAAGAAAAAGGTGGTTTCTTCCAGGAATAATCTGAATTTTTGTCACCGTCTTTCCAAAGTGATACACAGAACAGTCTTCCCTGATCATTCTGTCTAATGTGACCTCCTTCCCCATGTACACAATATCATATTGCCCTATTCATGCTCTTACTTCTGTATTTTTTTATTGTTTCTCTGTTTTCTTTCTTGTACTTTTTAAAATCTGAAGTTACCTGTGTGTATGCAGATATAATAATGTATCATAATATAGTATGTAACATCCACTGGAGACGCAGCTCAGTGACAGGGTGCTTGCCTAGCATGCCACAGGCCCTGAGTTTGATCCACAGCACTGCAAAAAAAAAATGTAATGTTACACACACACTCTCAATCTCTCTCTTTCTCTCTCTCTCTTGTTGCCTTCCCCTCTAGAATGCTAGATCCTTGAGGGCAGGAACTTTATTTCTAGCACATAGCCAACACTCATTGACTATTTTTTATATAAAAAAATACAAAGATACAATTAATCATTTAAACAAACCCAGGTTGTGGTGGCTCAAATATCAAGCATTTGACTCTCAAAATGATTGAGGCACAAAAAATTAGTTGGTTGTAAGTTAATTTAGCTCAGTTACAGTAAGTTACTCGTAAAGCCCAGAATCATACCTTCATGTCTGCATGATCTAACAATTTCCTAGAGAAGTAGAGACTTAAAAATATTTAAATTTTTATTGTTCGATATCTGAAATTACATGTATTTCTCCGTTTGTAATTCTCCCCTTTACTCCATTTGTAGGGCTCCTACTATGGACCCAAATGAACAAGCGTCTTGTCCAGGGAGCTTACTGTGTTAAGGGGAGAGTCTTCCATGCAGGGTTGTCCAGGCTTCTGCAAGCTGGGGTGGATGTAAATTCTGGAGTGAGGGGAGGCACAGCTGCCCCACAGGTAGGGCTTCCAGGAAGAGACTTCTGTTTGGAGACTGGAGTCAGAATTAGCCAGGTGGCAAAGGCTGCAGAAAGGAGCTGAGGCTGTGGTAGGTTTGGGTAAAAGAGCCAAGTGTTTGCAGGTGGAGGAGGAGATCACCCATCTGAGTGTTTGGGAAGAAGTGGACAAAGGTTTGCACGGGGGAAGCACAGATCGTGAGATGGAGAGTGGTGTCGAATGTGTGTGTGAACGTGACCAAGCATCCAGGACTTGAAGAGACTTACAGTGAGGTCTGTTGTACCTAGTGCAATCTGTAGAGGATTTTAATCAGAGGAGGAACATGCGTGGTCGGAATATTAGGGCATGTGGATGACTTGATGTATTTATGATTTAGGACCAACCATACATCCTGCAGTTGTTTATCCATGTTTAAAGTTGTAGTTGGGAGTAAATAGAAGTGGCTTGGGACAAAGCCATCTCTGTGAACATCATATAGTCCCTCAAAGTCCATAGCTTATGGTGCGACATAATGATTCAATAACAACACATAAAGAATCCATCAAAAGATATTCCCTCTCCATCATAACCTTTTCTTTTCTGTCCTTCTGCTGTGTCCTTTTCCCATCTTAGAACAACAAGATCACACTCTTCCGCCAGCTGCAGCAGATGACATACAGCCTGATCGAGTGGCGCTCCCAGATCCTGTCTGGGACACTCCCCAAGGACGAACTGGCAGAGCTCAAGAAGAAGGTCACAGCCAAAATCGACCACGGGAACAGGTAAACCAGGGATGACCTTTCACTGCAAACTTGGAAAATGACTGGTACCTTCATGCTAAGGATACTCTTCACAGAGAACTTTAAGCAGAAAACTTTAAAAAATTTTAAATTGGCATCTGCCTAGCAAGCACGAGGTCCTGAGTTCAAGCCTCAGTACCACCAAAAAAAATTTAATTGACACATAATAATTGTGCACCATAAACATTCATTATTTCTTTGTGTTGGGAACATTCAGAATCCTCTCTACTGCTATTTGGAATACACAATTTAATTGCTGACAGCCTGTTACCCTGCTGAGATGTAGAACATAGGGGCTATTCCTCCCGTCCAGCCATCGCTGTGCCCATCAGCCACCCTCTCCTCGGGCCCCTCTCCCCAGCCTCACAACAAACTTTTGACCTTAGAGTTGCCAAAGAATAATGCATACTACTCTCTTTGTGTCATAGAAAGCACTTAGTTTCTTTAAAAACCTTCACATGCCCTCCACAGTCCCAGAGCTGTGCTGACTTCCTTTATGAGGAGCTGACGCGTGAACAGAGAGGATGGGGTTTGGAGTGATGCAGCCCTGCCGCCAAAGAAATGATGACTAAACACCGTTAGCTGGCACTTTCAGATGCCTGAGCCTTTTTTTGTTCTAACAATGGAGGTTAAAAAGATACCAGACTCAGCTGGGTGTAGTGGTACATGCTTGTAATCCCAGCTATTGGGAGGTGGAGGCAGGAGGATTACCCAGAGGTAATCCCAGAGCCTGTCTCAAAAACAAAAGGGCTGGAGGCCTGGCTAAAGTAGTAGAGTGCGTGATAGCACGCACAAGACCCTGGTTCAATCCTCAGTACTGGGGGAAGGGAGGCATCAGACTGATTTGCACCTTGTCTCCATCTTCCCCTAACTGGGACCATGGTGGACAATGTATGAAAACCAGATTCTCACATGTTTCAGCCTGATGACTCTGTCTGTTGTCACCTCCAAAGAGTATCAGTACTCATCGATCCTCTGATTAGCTCAGGCAGCTGTGTTGGTTCCAGGTATTACTGCCCTTGACAATGTGAGGAATTCGGCCTATTTATCCAAATTTACCATGACCTGGTATGCATGCCTCCCAGCCATCACTTCCCAGAAGGCTAAGGTGGTTCTCGGTTTTTGTTGGGGATTCTTTTGGTATTTAGTTTCTTCAACTTGTGCATATATGTTTTCCCTCCCCTTTTATCCTCTTTCTCCAACCTCAGGACTTTTGACTATCCCTCAGTCATATAACCTAATACAGCTCACTATCCTGCTGTGTAAATGTCACACTGTGATACCTGTATTGAGAAATAGCTGGGGTCATAGTCAGTCAGTACTTTTGAAATACCTCCTTGGTATATTGTACATACTTATAACCTCTGAAGTTGTAAGTTCTAACACTTATGGTCCTATTGTGAAGCAGTTACTCTTTCCATTTTATAGATAAAGAAAGAGCATGTGAGCTTAAGTGATTTCCTTCCAAGTCGCACAGATTGTCAATGGGAAAGCATCAATTTGAACCCAGGTCTTTGGCTCCCTGTCTCACGCTCCCTTCTTGGGGTTGAGAAGTTTCTATCCACTCCCATACTTGGTCACCAGAGGACTATATGGTGTTAGAGGACTTCTTTAAAAGTTGGCTGCAGTGGGACAAAGCACCTCCCTAATTTACACATAGGCCACCTCTGTCTTTTGAGGTCTGTGGCAAGGAAGTTCCTCCAGTCTCTGTCAGGATACTGACAAATGGCAGAGCAAGGTGATTTCCCATTCCAGCCCATGGACACAGCTCAGGAAATAGAGCTGCTCTGTCAGCACCTTCATGAACCCAGTCTCTGAGCAGCTAGCATGGCCAGCCGTCGTAAGCCTGGGTGGCCCATGGATCTGGCTGCTATGGAAAGGAACCTGCCATATCAAATCAGTTGATGGAGATGCTACCAAACGCAGGAGGGAAATGAAGCATTTTGCTTTCTTCCAAAGACTTGGCACATTTTGTTGTTATTGCAGAGTGTTCTTGCTGTTTGGAACCCCACTCCCAGATTGCGGGTGCCTGGAAGGCATGCTGGCACTGAGATATCAGTATCCTGTTTACACCACTTTCAGCTTCTTGGAACTAAGCACAGTTCTTTCTACTTTTGTGTGCCCATTGGGCACAAAAGTCTTGGAAGGCAGAGGGTGATCAGGTCCACCATATGGCCCTACCCTTGCCACTCAGAGCTTCAGCATCATACAGCCAGTTTTTCTTGTGCAATATTTAAGTGCTTACCATATGGGAGATACTGTATTAGGTACTTTACATTCATTAACTCATTACATTCTCACAACAACCCTGAAGCCTAGAAAATTTTTATAGGTGAAATAATCCAGCCTTTGCAAAAAAAAAGGTGTCCGATTAGTAGCAAGTATTTAAAGCCAAGATTTCAGATCTAGTCCAAATGACAGGAGAGCCAGTGCCCTGAGATGGGGTACAGAGAGCAGCAACTAGGACTTACTTCATCCCTCTTCTTTGAGACAGCCTTGAATGAAATAAGGTGATCAGGACAAACCCTCAAGTAATTATTCGTGGGTCTTTTATAGTTGCTATGCCAAATCACAGGGCAGATTTGGCAAAGAGGATTTTAGTCAGAATCAATGCCAATTTTTCTGTCCTTGAAGCAAATTATTTTGAATATTCTTACATAAATTTGGCCGACATTGTGTCATGAGTTTTTGAACATTGCTGTTCAAATGGAAGAAGAATGGTCTGCAGGCTGTTATTGCCTTGACTTGTCCAGCCCTGGTCTTCCTACTTTGAATCCTCTAGGTTCTCTGAGGAGGGATTTCCTGGGAATAGTATGGCCCTGACCATCCCTTTTTTTCCAGAATGCTGGGACTAGATCTGGTAGTGCGAGATGACAATGGGAACATTCTGGACCCTGATGAAACCAGCACCATTGCCCTCTTCAGAGCCCACGAAGTGGCCTCCAAAAGGATTGAGGAAAAGATCCAGGAAGAAAAGGTACACGTCCTCCAATGTGCAGATTGCTGTGGTTTTTATTTTTGCTTTGGTTTTTTAATGAGAGAAGGGGAATTTTTGACAAAAGAAATATCTAGAAAATCCATTTATATTCTCTTTATTAGAAATAAGGAGGCCACTGTATGTTCTCTTACGGAAAGATTGCAAAGATACACATTAAGTGGAAAAGGTAAGATAGAGAAGAGTGTTATAAGATGCTGTTATTTGTGTTTCACAAAAAATGTAAAGAGGATTGCATACTTTGATGCACATACATAGATTAAATGAGATGGTAGACAAGAAATGGATCATTAGTGGATGTCCTTGGGAAGGAGAGCTGGGTGGAAGGGAGACCATTGTCTAAGCTTCTGTGTTTGGTGCATATGTGGTCCAAAATAAATATTTTAAAATGAAGTATTTGAAAGATAATGAAGGTAATCCTGTACATTAAAGAAAAACTACAAAGTTGTAAAAAAAAAAAACAAAAAAATTAAAAAAAAATCACCCACACGGTGACCACCCCGACCCAACCATATGGACAGTTTACTCTATTTTCTTTCAGTCTTTCTGTTCTAATGAGTAAGGTTTGTGACAGTTTTGTTTAGCTTTTAGCTTTTATTTCTTTAACAGAGTCACAGTAATATTAGTTTCTGAATCTGTTAGTAACCGCATCTGAGGGTGAGGCCTTTCCGGGGGAATGTTTTGTTTTCAACAAGGTATTCCCATAAAGAGGGATAATGAATCAAGTTTTTGTGTATTTGAACTTCATGCCGAAGCAAGCATGAGAAGTAAGAGCTGCTCACATCTACTGAAACCAAGAGTTACCACTGATAGACAGCATTTGCTAAATGACTTATGTTCAGGCCCTGAGCAGGACAGCCTTGGTCATCTAAGCAATGGTTACATCTTGCCCACGTGATAGATCACTGGTTCACTTACATCACTTTCTTCTCAAGAGCTTCTGAGTGATGATGGCATCTGCCCCCCTTTGCAGGTTGATTTCCTTGTCAGCTTTTCTCTTTTGCTGAATCCAAGCCGTTTTCACTCTTTTCCTCTCTGTCCAGTCCATTCTGCAGAACCTGGACTTGCGGGGCCAGGTCATCTTCAGTGCTATTCACACCTATGGCCTGTACGTGAACTTCAAGAATTTTGTCTGCAACATCGGGGAGGATGCGGAGTTGTTCATGGCCCTCTATGATCCAGACCGGTCCACCTTCATCAGGTAGTGGGAACCCAGATCACTTAAGATTGACTTTGCAAAATACCCAGCCTTCACCTGCCCCTACCTGAGGTTTGAGATAGGTTGCTAGGCTTGAGAAGGGGAGATAAAGAAGAGGGAGAGTACTTCTGGGCTGTGGAAAGTAAGTTCTTCTGGCTCTGAAAGCCTTCTGTATCAGTACTGAAACCAAGCAGCCAGTTGGAGTACTCCCTGGGAGTTAGAGAGTGTAGCCTTGATCAGGACATGGAGCTGAGGATACAGTTCAAATGCTCATCCAGAAGAGTGAAAGAGGGATGAATAGATGGGCACAGAGTGGGACTGGGGCAGTGAAACTAGTCTGTGTGATACCACAGTGGCAGATGCCTGTCATGCATTTGTCCAAACCCATAGAAAGCTCAAAGTCAAGCATGAACAAAGAATCTAATGTCACCTGTATGTCCTGGGTTTCAATGAGGTATCACATAGGATTATCTGTTAGAACAAATGTACTATCAGGTGAGGACAGTGGATCGTGAGGGAGGCTGTCTTAAGTGTAGGGCAGGGATATATGTACTTCCAACCCAACTTTGCTGTGAAGCCAAAACTGTTCTAAAAATAAGTTCAGTTAAAAAAAGTATTAAACTGTAGGAAATGATCATGGGGCAGTGTTTAGCCCTCAAATGGTCCCCTACTGAGCAGCTAAGGAAATGCATGTTTATCTATGAGTAGGTGATTAAAAGTAGTTACTGATAAATTGTTTATTTCTAAAATAATGTATGAGTATGGTGGTGTGGATTACAAGGGATGGATTTGGAATGACACAGTTTAATACATGTTTCAGCAGAACTGAAATTTCTTCATTTTTGGTGGGACTGGGGTTTGAACTCAGGGCTTTGCACTTGCAAAACATGTGCTCTACTGCTTGAGCCACACCTCTAGTCCATTTTGCTCTGGTTATTTTGGAGATGGGATCTCCCAAACTATTTGCCTGCACTGGCCTCAAACTGTGATCCACCCAATCTCAGCCTCCCAAATAGCTAGGATTACAGGTGTGAGCCACCATGCCTGGCACAAAACTGAAACTTCTATATGAAGTATTTGAGATGAGAAGACCCTAGACAGTCGAATCCCATAAAATCTGCCATACCTGTATGTCCTAAGCACTATATGTCGTGCTCTGTATGAGTGCCTGTTATGGGACCGCAGTAGGGACACTTCCAAAGCCAGGGACCCACATGTTTGTGGGTACTTTACACCTGCCTATTGAGCTTCAGTCAGCATTTTGCATCATCCTTTCGCCCTTACAAGTCTGTACGAAAGGCAGCCTCCATCCCTGTCTGGTCTCTCATGGAGAATCATTTTCTTTTCTTCGCCAGTGAGAACTACCTAATTCGCTGGGGCAGTAATGGGATGCCCAAGGAGATAGAGAAACTCAATAACCTTCAAGCAATATTCACTGTAAGTCCCACCTTTGTTTCATTGGTCATTTGTCCTTTGATGCTAGTGGACACACGTGGTAAGTGTATGGAAAACACAAAAGATGAAAAACCACCCCGATCCTCCCCAGTAGGAATCACCCACTCATTATACAACAAATATCTACTGAGCACCTACTGGATGCCAAGCACGGATTTTCACACTTGAGGTACAGCCCTGAACAAATCAAGAAAAACAAAGACTCTGAACTAGAGTAGTTTTTTTCCTGATGGGGAAGAATTAATAAATAATAATTAAGTAAATGAGTAAATTTATACAATGTAAGAAGTCTCAAAGTGCTTTGAGGGGTGTAGGGACAGCTAGCTGGGGGAAGGTCGTGTTTTAAGTAGATTGGTTAGGGCTGAGCATTAAGAGTGGGCAGGTGCCTACCATACACTAGGCCCTGGGTTTGATCCCCAGGACCCCAAAATACATAAATAAATAGGTTTGTGAGGGCAGACCTCTGAAAAGGAGACATTTGAGTCAGACTTTGAAGTTGAGAGTGAACCTTGCAGATAACTGAGGAGAGAGCTTCCAGACTAAGGTCACAGTCAGGGCAAGGGCAAGAGCCAGACTTGTTTTGTGTGCTTATATCAGAATGAGTGCTTTCCTTCCTCCTCCCTCCAAAGTACTCCTACACATGGCTGAGGAGCAAGGGAATGCATTAAACTGTCTTCCCCTTAGGGTGGGTGGAACTTTCTGGAGTTCTCTCACTTTTTTATGCCTCTACTACTTAAAATGCCCTGGAGCTGTTGCCACCTTGGTGGGCCAAAAACAAATGCCCCCTTTCCTTCATTGTCCCTTCAGCCCACACACATGTCTTATCTCCTTACTCTCTTCCCTCTCTTAGAACAAGGAAAACTGAGTCTAAGTCACAGGGCCTAGGCAAATGACGTGCAGGATTCCTGGTCCCCATACAGTCTCACTTTTATTCACCTCCCGCCTCTGGGGCATACACCAGCTGATGTACTGTCCCTTCACTGAGCTATCTGCATCCTCACCACCCAGGCAGAGAGCATTCTGGACTCTTCCCAAAACCTCCCTAGCATTTCCTCAGTTCTGAGATACGTGGGGATTTCCCTAAAATCAAAAGGCATTTATCAGTCCATGTGTACAGTATGCAAAGGTATTATTGAGTCTTTGGGCCATCTTCTGGTAAATACTGTTTTAGAACAGCTGCCATTTATCCTCTTTCCCGATCTGCCTCGCCCCCCACTCCCCGCCCCCCCAACCCCCTGTCCCGAAGGATCATCTAGTCTGTAAATTTCAGGACTTTTTTTCCCTTAAATCAAATCTGGTGACCATTGCATTGATCATTAAATCTTCAAAAATTTCCTTTATATATATTGCATAATATTTACTAATGTCACTGTGCCACAGTTTATAGGACGGGTCACCTGAACCTTTATTTTTCTCTTGATGGAAGCCTTACGGAGCGTAGAGTAGAAATTCAAGATGGATATTATTATTGGCGTATCTTCCTCTCTTTAGTTAACTAAATTATAGGGAATAGATTTCACGTGATTATTTGAAAACTGATTCTTGACTCAGTAAAGAGTGCTTGGGCTGCTGTTTCATAAAAAGATACTGAAATGTAGTTCCATTGTTTCTGATGTTAAATGAGTGAGATATGTAAACTCATTCCTGGGTTTATTCGCCCATCCTTATGAATAAAAACAAAAGCTTCAGCCACAAAAAGCAGAGATTTCATCTCCACTGCTGTCATTATTCAGCTCTTTGAGAAGCTCCTGTGGACCCTCTCCTAAAGTGGGTGAATAGCTGTGCACAGCAGTGTCTGGATTACTTTGCTTCCCAGGGATGTTTTGAAACTAATGAAACGCCAGAGGCTGTGTGGATACTCAGCAACTGTCGGTCACGCGAGTTTTGATTTCATTTGACACTGAAATGCATCCTGTGTTGAGATACATCCTGGAAGGTAGCAATGAATGTCCTGGCTTTGAAACACCCTGCTAACTTGCTAAACTGGAGCCTTTAGATGAACTCTGATCTATTTTAGAAATTTAAAATAGAAGCAGAGGAAGAAAAGAGTGCTTTTTTTTTTTTTTTTTAGAAATACAAAGTTGTTTTCTCTGATACCAGCATGCTTCTTGGAAGGGAGAGGAGAAGAGAGAAGTCACAGAGTATGTCAGCATGCTCTGAACAGGATTCTGTTGTAGAGTGAAAAGAGTAAAGGAGGTGACAGGGTGACGCAGCCCCACCTCTGTGTTCTCTGTTTATCTCTCCAGGACCTCAGCAGCACTGACCTCATCCGGCCTCGCATCAGCCTGGTCTGCCAGATTGTCCGGGTTGGCCGTATGGAGCTGAAGGAGGGCAAAAAGCACACCTGTGGGCTCCGGAGGCCTTTTGGAGTAGCAGGTATGAGAAAGCCCAGAGACTAAGGTGAAATGGTGCAATTACTGTGAACAGCAGGCTGGTGGTGCCTAAAATATTAAATGTGGGACTACCGTGTGATCTAGCAATCCTATTTTAGGGCATATACTCAAGAGATTTGAAAGCAGTGTCTCACAGAGGTATATGGACACTCAAGTTCACAGCAGCATTATTCACGGTAGCCCAGAAGTGGCAGCAACCAGGTGTCCCAAAATGTGGTATATCTATACAAGGGAATATCATTCAGCCTTAAAAAGGAAGGAAATTCTGACCTATGATGCAGTATGGTTGAACCTTGACAATACTACGCTAAGTAAAATACACCAGATGAAAAAGGTGAGTACTGGGGGGAGGGGAGTGGCACAGGTCAGAATTCCTTTGCTGGCACCATTCTTCCTTTAGCCTTCATTTTCCATCTGACAGTTGTTGACGTATCTCAGTTCTTCTCATCTCCAAACAGGTTATCTGTGAGGTGGGGAAATGGATTGCTAATGTGTGTTTCATGACCATACTGTCACTTATTAACCAGAGCGTCACCTCCTGCCAAGGCCCTTCGTCAGTCCACTTACTAATCCTCTAGGCAGCAGTCTCTTTGTTCCAAGAAGGTCATTATCATTCAAAATGGGCCAAAGAGACTTTGGGCTTTTGTCTGCTTCTCTGTTTCAGCATGTGTGTATATGTGTGTGTCTGTCTGTCTGTGGATGTGATTCACTGTTACTATAGTTACTATTACTGTTGGGTCTGCCCTCTGACTTTACCAGTGAAAACTTAGCACCCAGGGCAAAATACATAACTTTTTGGTTCTTTGATTTCCTCATTTCTCAAAGTAGAACTAATAATATCTGTATGAATAGGTAGCACAGTGGCCAGGCTTAGAGCAGGGCTTCAGTAAATAAAGTGCTCTTCCTGGGGTGAGGGGATGAAGAAGTCAGAGTCAAGTCTGTTTTGTGTGTGTACGTGTGTGTGTGTTCGTGTGTGTGTACATGTGTGTATATGTGTGTGTGTGTTCGTGTGTGCCTGTGTATGTGTGCGTGTGTACGTGTGTGTCTGTGTGTGTTCGTGTGTGTACGTGTGTCTGTGTACGTGTGTGCACGTGCCATGTGAAGGATCTAGCAGTGCCTTGCTCGTGTAGGCCAGCACTGTGCCACTGAGCTTCGCCGGAAAGCTTTTGCCGGTTTAGGACATTTGCTCTTAAAAGGCAATGTTATGTAAGTGCTTTCACAGAGTGTCCTTGGCTTAAATAAGCCCCAGAACCTTCCAAAAAGTTCTTTATCTTCCTTTGTTGTTAGTTAAATTAAGAGGATAGATTTCCCTCCTTCCCCCCCTTTTGACATTTTGGTCACTAGTACTTTGATTGCTTCATTGATTGATTGATTCGTCAATACTGGGGGTTGAACTCAGAGCCTCCTGCTAGCTAGGCAGACAATCTTCTACTTGAGTCACTCTACCAGCTCGTCACCAGGGCTTTGAAAGCCTTTTCCTTCCTCTCTGCCCCGCCCCCCCATCACATACACACACACGTACACACATAAACACATATACACACACACAAATAAAAAGAAAGCATGGGCAAAAGGATTCCAACAGTCAGGACTGAGTTTCTGTTGTGTTTGAGATACTGTACTCAGCACCAAAGAGGAGCGAAGTAGGGGCTGGGTGAGGACATAGAACCCCAGAAAAGAACTGGTTGTCCTGGGCAGTAAACACTGTCTGCCACTGACCATGATGACATAATCCATCCTTCCCTGTCTCTGGGTTGGCCCTTCAGCCAGCCTGTCTGCCTTCTTTCCTTCCTTCTTCCTTTTCTCTCAAATTCTTCAATTGTGGTAAATGCAGATAACATAAAATTTATCATCTTAACCATTTTTAAGTGTACAGGTCAGCAACATTAAATATATTCACTTTGTTGTGCAAATCACCATCCTCCTTCCATCTTTCTCATCTTCCAAAACTTTACCACATACCCAGTAAACAAAAACTCACTGTCTTCTTCCCAGTCCTGGAAATCCCGTTCCCCATCTGTCTCTATGCGTCTGACTCTTCAGGTACCTCATGTAAGTGGAAGCAACCAGTAGTTGTCTTTTTCTTTTTTTCAGCTGGTTATTGCTTGATTTGGTTTTTTTCTCCTTTTATCATTTTTACATTTACTTACCTGTGATGTGCCTTTGCAGTATTGCATGATAACCAGGTGAGAAAATGTCACAACAAAGAGGTGAATGACCATTTCAAGCCTTGACTTTCTCTGCAGGTCTTTAGTTCTTCGGACAGTCCTGCCAAGAATATGTATTATCTGTGGTTTTGCACACACCTTCTTTAAAAGTAATTGGTCTTACTAAGTGTGATTAGGCACCCCTGTAATCCAAGTACTCAGGAGGCTGGGGCAGGGGGAGGGTAAATTTGATGCTAGCCTGGACTACATAGCGAGAGCCTGTCTCAAAAAAAAAAAAAAAAAGGCAACACACACACACACACACACACAACATGCAAAATTAAAACAATAATTGGTCCTTAAATTTCTCAAGAATTTAGCAACTTGGTATTGCAGAACATAGCGAGAACCTGTTCAAAAAACAACAAAAAAAGCAACACACACACATGCAAAATTAAAACAATAATTGGTCCTTAAATTTCTCAAGAATTTAGCAACTTGGTATTGCAGAATTTTGAAAGGCCCCATCTGCAGCATTGATGTTAGACAATGTGAGCCCCTTCGTGAGCCCTGAATTACTTGTTCCTCTACACTGGGAAATTATTGTCAAAGAAATGAAAGAAACGGCCCTGCTTGGTATCTTTCTACCTCCACTATTCTATGCTTGCTGATCCCGCCCTTTTCCATAGCAACTCAGTGAGGCGTGAAGCAATTAGCTTCTCTAATGAAGTTTATCTCTCTCCTAGTGATGGATATTACCGATATCATACACGGGAAGGTGGACGATGAAGAAAAGCAGCATTTTATTCCCTTCCAGCAGTAAG